CCCCTTCCTTCCACCCTCCTTCTATCTCTTTTGCCTAATAAATATGGAGGGCTGTGCAAAGCTCAGGGCCCTTGTCCACTAGAGGCAAGGTGCCCCCTGACCCCTTCTTCCAAATATACTCTTTTGTCTCGTCTTTTATTCCCGTGTTTGCCCCCTTTGTTCAGTTCCCCTAGGTGCATGAGGGTTACTTAGTTGCACCCCAAACAGCAACAGAATCGGGTGCCCCACAAGTGGGTACAAACACACAGTTAGAAGAGTTAAGTTCTCACATTCCATAGTAGCACTGGGTGATCGTAGTCAGCAACAATGCACTGTGTATTTCGCAGTAGATACAAGGGAAGACTTGAAATGCTTGCAATGTGGAAAGGATACTCAAGATGATGGACACCCCCAAATACCCTCACTTGATCATTACACAGTCTATGCATGTAACGAATACATGTACCCCATAAGTATGTAAATATTATGTATCAACAAAATATAGTTTTCGTCTATCAGGTTTAAAAAAACATTTTAATATAGTGTTGCTGAAAACATGGCAAACAGGCACTCTGGCATATTAAGAGTATAAATTGAGCTCAAGAGGTTTAATTCATCCATATCTAAATAAAAGGCATATACCTCTCAATCCAACAATTCCAATTCTAAGAGTTTATCCCACAGACACCATCACACCAAGGCACACATAAACGACATTCATGACAATGATTAGCTGCAAACAAAACGTTCCCCAGCTGGGGACGGTGGAATGCTAGGCCCGAGAGCATCCATACGGTGGGACATCATGCTGTGCATAAAGACAAGAGGGAGGCAGGTGGGCGGATACGGACCTCCCTTTAAAAAAGAAAGCAAAGGATGCATCAGCGTGTAAAACACGGTGACGCTCAGGTGTGCACCAAGTCACAGGGAGGAGACCTGAGTGATTTTTGCATCAGCGCCTTTGCCTGTCAGGAGGGAAAATAGCTGGACAAGAGGCAGGAAGATGACTGACTTTAAGTTGTATCCTTTTTTTTCTAAACCAGGTACACAATTTTTTTTAAGATAGGGTCTTGCTGTGTTGCCCAGGCTGGAGTACAGTGGCACAATCACAGCTCATAGCAGCCTCAACCTCCCAGGCTTAAATGATCCTCACACCTCAGCCTCCCAAGTAGCTGGGACCACAGGCATGTGTCACCACGCCTACTTAATTTTTGTATTTTTTTTGTAGAGACAGGTTTTTGCCATGTTGCCCAGGCTGGTCTTGAACTCCTGGGCTCAAGTTATCTGCCTGCTTCAGCCTCCCAAAGTGCTGGGATTACAGGCGTGAGCCACCACACCCAGCTTTTTTTTTTTTTTTTGAAACGGAGTTTCACTCTTGTTGCCCAGGCTAGAGTGCAATGGCACGATCTCGACTCACCGCAGCCTCCGCCTCCCTGGTTCAAACAATTCTACTGCCTCAGCCTCCTGAGTAGCTGAGATTACAGGCATGTACCACCATGCCCAGTTAATTTTTTTTAGTAGAGATGGGGTTTCTCCATGTTGGTCAGGCTGGTGTCAAACTTCTGACCTCAGGTGATCCACCTGCCTCGGCCTCCCAAAGTGCTGGGATTACAGGCGTGAGCCACCATGACCAGCCCCAGCCTTTTTAATTAAAAAATATGGTGGGGAAAAAATAATAGCTTACAAATGTGGCAATCATTTATAATAGTTTGCAACGTGGACAATTTTTTTTACCTCTTCCTTCTAGCACTTTCTAGGGCCCTGATAAGTCATTTGTAGGGAGACCTCTAGTCCTTAGAACCTGAATTCTCATTCTGGTTTCACAAAGGAACAAACTATTCATTTGTACAAACTAGGATTAAAAGTTTCTCAGAGCCAGGTAAGGCATTGTCAGGTCCACTGGTCCCAGCCCTGCACATACCCTAAAAAGGTTGAGTGCCCAGAGGCAGAACCATGCACCAAGAGAAGCCCATGGAGAGAGCTCCATCCCCCGGCTTCCAAGCCCAGGCCAGTGAGCTTTCTCTAAGTGCACCACCTGGAGGCAGGTCCACTTGTGATCTGCACTCTCCTTAGAACAAGCTCAGGGTAGAAAGCATGTGAGTGGACTAAATCCTAACCTTTGCGGCAGCCTAGGCAGAAGCAGCAATGAAGGATCACCAAGGCACAGACACTGACGGACCTTTATTTTAATTTTTTTTTAACTGAGGCATCATGGCAATTTAATAGTGAGGTATTTCGTTGCATTTTTATAAAAAACATTCCAAAACAAAGTGATAATAGGGACCTAAATTCCTTGGACTCATGGTAGAGATGTTTGAGCATCCTAATATTCTACATCTGCCAACATGTCAGTTCGGAAGATTACAATGTTCCCCACAAGCCATTAAAAACTGGCCAAGGACAATCAGTCATGACTAAGTCCTTGTGTGCATCACGCTCCTGCTCCTCCACACACTGTCTGAGCGTGCACTTTTCTTTTGAAGGCTAATTTACAAGGCATTCTGCCTGAGTCGGGGTATTGCTAAGTGGAAGGTTCGATGAACCTCCTAGTAGAAAATGCAGGGCCTACAAAATGCGAACAGCTAGATTTACTATGGCTTATAATCAAGGCAAACTATATAATAAGAGGTTGTATTTTCATCAGATCTGCAACAGGTCAAAGCTTACGGCAAAAGACAAAAGGCAGAGGTATGTATCTTAGAGACAAGCTCACAGTGCCTTTAAAGTGGAGAATTCTTGTAGCCAACTGGTGACTCACCATGTGTTGTTATCCAGACGTGGGCAGATGGCAGCTCTGCTGACCCAACAACCCACCTACATGATATTCAGCATTTTGGGATCACCGGACCTTGTTTAAAGCGAGTTACACTGCTGAATTTTCCATCATCCCCCTTGCGAGCAGCCCTGGGCAAATGGCTATACCAACAACTGTTGACTCAGGCGCCAGTCCCCGGAGGTCTAGGACCCAGGCCAGCACCGAGGCCTAGACAGCTAGGACTCAGGCGCCGGTCCCTGGAGGTCTAGAACCCAGGCCAGCACCAAGGCCTAGACAGCTGGGACTCAGGCGCCAGTCCCCGGAGGTCTAGAATCCAGGCCAGCACCGAGGCCTAGACAGCTGTGACTCAGGCGCCGGTTCCCAGAGATCTAGAACCCAGGCCAGCACCGAGGCCTAGACAGCTGGGACTCAGGCGCTGGTCCCCGGAGGTCTAGGACCCAGGCCAGCACCGAGGCCTAGACAGCTGGGACTCAGGCGCCGGTTCCCAGAGATCTAGAACCCAGGCCAGCACCGAGGCCTAGACAGCTGGGACTCAGGCGCCGGTCCCCGGAGGTCTAGGACCCAGGCCAGCACTGAGGCCTAGACAGCTGTGACTCAGGCACCAGTCCCCGGAGGTCTAGGACCCAGGCCAGCACCAAGGCCTAGACAGGTGTGACTCAGGCGCTGGTTCCCAGAGGTCTAGAACCCAGGCCAGTCACTCACCACTGATTTATGGAATGGACCATGTATCTATTTATCAACCAAGCTCCCAAACTTAGGGCGCCCAGTGTCCCTACCTTGAAGTTAGCAAGAGAACCACAACTTTGCTTCTCTGTAGACAGATCTCCCAACCTTCCCATCTATTCATGACACACATTCATTTAAAAACAGCTGAGAGAGCTGGGTGTGGAACCTTAATTACAAACACCTTCTGAGGACTCACGCCACCACAAGACCATGTTACCTCAGTCTCCTGCCTCCATTTCCCCATTTTATACAGTTCATGCTTTTAAATACGAACTCCCATGCCATTGGAAGCTGTTCCCAGAAAGTGTCGAGATTCATCCAGATGCCTCTGTCCTTTACCTGTCAGAACAGACCATCAGGTCCCACCTTCTAACAGGATGGCCTGAGTGAGGCCATGTGAACCTCAGCGGGAGGAAGCCCCTCCTCAATAGAGAAGTTGCACCCCCAACAAACGCTAATGCCAGCGGAATTCCCTAATGCCAGCGGGGGTCTGAAAGGTCTCAGCTGCTTAGGATTTCATTGGTAAAAAAGAACAAAGTGTAAGATTGAGCTACTAATTTGACACTTAAGATTTCTCGGAGAGATCCTGAGAGTGACCCTGTAGGGCAAAAAATAAAATTTAAAAAACGTCTATTTCTGGGAGATCCACCCATCAGTCAGGACATGGCTTCAGAGGGCGTCTTGTTGGCACATCTGGGACTACCTGGCTGTGACCCGTGTGGCACTCTGTTACAGTTAAACCATGGGGTAGGGAAGAGGGGCTGCAGGCGGTGCCCTCTACCCAGAGGAATCCAGGAAGGCTCAGGCGGCTCCTCATTCATCGTCTGGGATTTCCCGGAGCCCTTCGCTGTGGCGCGACCGCCCACTGATCTCCAGCAGGGCCTGGGCTTCAGGGTCTGCGTCCAGGATGCTCTTGTTGCCCTTGGCCTTGAGAATAGAAGAGAAGAAAGGGTGGGTATGTTCCATGATGGCCCAACACCAGGCAGCGGCTTCCTGCTAGTTTTCCAGCCTTCTCGGGTGGAATCGACTCTGGTTCCCCCTAAGGCCCCTCCCACTCTGGGATTCAATGGCTGGGTGGGTAGGAGGTATTACAGGAGGTTCAGGGGTCAATAGCAAATCAGGTGCAGAACCAGGGAAGAAGGAACCCCAGACCTTCCTCTTGTAGGTTGGCAGAGAGAATGAAGGGCCACCTGGGCTTGCACTTGAGGACCACCCCCCCGCTTCCCAGGGCTGCTCTACTAAACCGCCCACAAATCCCAGACAAGACTTCCAGCCATGCATCTCCTGGCATCCAAACCAGCGTCAGCTGCCAGGATCAAATTTATGAGAAACTATCTGCAGACAGAAGAGTAAAGGGGGTAATGGTAAGAAAATGGAGAAAGGCCCCCAGGCTCAAGAGGCCATCCTGGGAGGCAGAGGATGGCTCCACTCACCAACTGCTCCTCTGAAGGGTCTCCAACCGCCCACACCTCCATCTTATCAAACTGGAAGTTCTCCTGGGCTGACAGCTGCGGGCTGTTGTACGTGGTGCACGTGGGCTTAGCTCTGCTGTGTCCTTTCCCAAAATCAACATCCACCCAAAGCCCAAAGTAATTGTGCTGCCCCCCCATCCCCTGCAAAGGAAGCCAGGACAGAGAACAGCATCAGCAACTCCTCAGGACCTGCGGACATCAAATACCACGAGCCAGCCTCTCACCTTAAGTACCAGCCTGAGACAGGGCGGGTGAGTGCGAATGCCATCATCTATGTTTTCCTTAACTGCGAAATATATCAATTGCTGCCATTTAAGCATCCCATGCCAAGTGACTAGAACAGTCATCTATGTCTCCAGACACCCACCCACGGCTCTTTCTCAGGAGGATTTGCTTGCTGAAAGCACAAGTGACGTCAGAGAATTAAAAATGTTAAATATATATATAGAAAGAGACCTCCAGGGCCCAGGGTCCCACCCAGTTAAGATAAGGGGAGAAGGGAACACAGAAGCTGATACTGCAAACCCCCCATGTTGGGGCACCAGTGCCCCCGCTTCCGGGCAGCGATCCTCACCCCGAGACAGACTGGGAAACTCAGCTCTGAGTGTGTGGCTTACAGGATGAAGAGGCAGACCCAGAGGCAGACGCGAACCCCTGTGCCTTCCACCCCCAGTCACATGGCTGGGCTCTGAGCTGTTCAACCTTGCCCTGCCGAGAACCTCCTCTGGTCCCTGGTAGGCCTGGAACACCTGGCACGCCCTAGTTCTGACCTTGGGCAACAAGAGACCCGATCACACTGTCCAGAGTTGACAGTCGGAGCCGCTCTGTCCCTCAGGGCCAATGACGAGCGATGACCGGGGCCTGCCAAGTGCTCCCTGTGAGGCTGGCACCCTCTCCCCTGCCGCCACCAGATCGCCCTTTCCAGAAGATGCCAGGTGTTCCAGGTGGCCCAGCCACGCCCCTCCCTCTCTCCAGGGCATCAGTGTGGTAAGCCTGGGAAGGACACTGGCCCCTCTAGCGGACCAGCCTTCTCTGCCCTCAGCTCTGCAGACACAGGACTGGGTTTTCCCAGTAAGAGCTTTCTGTCAAGTAGCAGAGGAAAGAAATCGGCAGGGGAGCTGGCAGGAGTAAGCTGGGCTTTGGCGTAGATGCTGCCCCAGCTCCTGCCCTCGGGACCCATGCCCACCTGCTCCCTGTACCTGGCCTAGGCCTCCTCTACTTCCCTGTGCTTCCTGTGCCACGTCACCAAGCTGAAGCGAGGGCTGGACAGGAGCCATGGTCACCCCAACTGGGGCCCCACATGCTGTCTCCTGAGCTGCCGGCCGTCCATTCCCCTCAGTCCAGCACTCCCAGGTATGAGGCAGGCCAGCGACGTGCAGGGACGGGTCTGGCGCTAACACTACCCCTAGCCTCAAAGGCCACAAACCAATCATCTGAGGGCCAGAAAAAGGGGCCAAGTGCGCCATCTGCACACAAATCACGGAGAAGCCCCAGCAGAGGCCACATCCTTCTCTAAGGGAAATCCTGGCCCAGCTGTCACTACCCCCAGCACCGGCCCTGGAGGCAGAAGGAACTGGACGTGGCGTGTGTGAGGAGATGAATGCCATGCGCCCTGCCCTGATCTGTGGAGCTGAGCCTCGGGGTTGATGCCTTCGCGGGGGGACATCACCAAGGCGAGACCCCCACGCTCCGCCCAGGCTCACCAGTCCATTCGGGATCGTCTGCTGTCCGTGGTTCAGGTACATGTAGTGGTCGTTGTAGCCTGTGTGTGTGTACACGGCCATGCTGGGACAGATGGAGAACAGGAAGCATCTGTCATCCCCTGAAAGTGGCCAGAGAACAAAACAAACAGGGTCAGTGTCTGAGCCGGTCCCAGAGGGCCAGAAACGCCAGTAAGCTGCGGCTCAGGAAGCAGCACGGCCAAGACCCCTCACTCATATCCAGGTGTCGGCAGATTGGGGGTTGGGACAAGCTGCTGGGGACCCAGGTGGATGAGCTGGGGGTGCAGGGATTAGAGGGACACCTAATAAGGAATGGGACATCTTTTAGCTCTGGCCGGGGGAGCAGAGATCACAACTCTGCCCACTGTCTGGAGTCAGTCCAGGCTGGCCAAGCACATGCAAGCCAGAAAGAACAGGCTTCCTTTAGCTTATGAGCAAGGCACAGGCGGTCAGTCCGCAGAGACCAAGGCCTCCAGCACAGCCTACCTGAGCAGGCAAGTGACGCTGCATGGTGCTGAGCCTGGCCTGAAAGAACATACCATGCAGAGAGAGAAAACTTGTGGGTGCAGAGCTGCCCCCAGGGGCACAGCCTGGGAAAGGTGGTCATCCACCCTCGCCCACAGGCATGGGGTGGGCACACAGGCCATGAGAAGAAAGGTACCAGTCAAAACTCTGGAAACTACGGGTCCCCAGTCTCAGAGACTCCTTCCCTCCATAAGCACCTCAGCACTGGGGAGAGGGCCGTAAGCCAGGCCTCATCCTCAGAGCTCCCAGCGAGGGGCGTTTCCCACCATGTTCTGAGGACTTGGCCGAAACGGCTGCCCGCCTCGACACCAGCATACACAAGTGTCACAACAAGCCGGAAGGCTGCTCATAGGAATTTGGGGCTGGGCTAGTCATCAGGGGGGAAAGAAGTCACAGGAAGAAAATTGGGGGCACCATGGTAGAATGTAGATAAGAAGGAGGCACCAAGACCAGGAGGCTGGAAAAGGATGATGGCCCTGAGCAAGCAAACAGGGCCCAGTCTGTAGTGTGGGCTGACACCACCCAAGGCCTCCAATCTAGAAAGATCCCCGGGGGGCCTCTGTCATCCTGGAGGCTTCTGGGAGGCAGCTTCCAAGGTCAAGAGGGAGGCCATGAAACAGAGCCCCCCATGGAGAAGGGATCCCATGAGGACAAGGCGTGGGACAGGTAGGCAACAGTGGGGCTTGAGAGCGTTGGGCGGAGGAAGGAAGGTAGCTAGGCTAGAAAGTTCCACCGGAACCAGCTAAGAGAAGGACTTTACTCTGGGCTACAGACTGAGGCTTGCTTCACGGGGGTTTCAGCAGCCTCAGAGGCTTGAGGGCAGGTTTAGACGCCACCACGAACAGCTCAGTCACACCCGACTGTATTGGCCCCACCCGACCCTCCCGTGCTGGACTTCAGGTACGTGGCCCTTTGCTTTGCAATCCTGAGCCTGTCGTACTGCAGAGCAAGGTGGTGGGGCCACGGAGCTCAGGCTTCGGCTGCGTGGGCCCAGATGCCAGTCCACCCCCGAGGGCCATTCTCCATGGGGAAGGCCAGGTGGGGGAAGCATCACTTCCCAGGATACAGGGCAAGGACCTGAGGAGTTATGATTACCTGAAAAAAAAAGTCACGCCAACAGCAAGGGCTCCTTATCTCATTCTCATAAAACAATACTCAAGCATGCCGCCACCACCTGGCGCCCGGCTGCTGAGGAGCTGCCTGCCCACACAGCATGGTTTCATGTACTTCTGAGGAACTGAGGCCCAGAAAATTAATCAGTCACCTTGCCCAGGGACAGAGCTGGGTCTCAAAATACTGTGTTCAATCCAAAGCCTTGGGCCTTTTCAACTACTGCACAGAAAACACTAGCAAAAAAAGGCTCTAAGTATAATCAATTCTTCTTTCCTCAAATAAAACTAAGAAAACAGTCCTTTAAAAAGGTTGACGAAGCCACATCGCCCCACAGTGAAAGATCCTCCATACTCAAGGAAGGGGCCACCTTCCTCAGCATTTGCCTTCATTGTTTGCCCCACAGCTATTAAATCCCTTAAAGTCTCAGATATTAGAGGTCATTATCTCCAGGACAAGCGGACAGCACGCTCTCTGAACTTGACCCAAAGTCCATGGATTTGTACCATACATGGGGCGAGGCTGCCCTCTGCTGTTATTTCCTGAGTACGGACACGTACTGCAACAGAATGAACTCGGGTTTGAAAACTTGGCCACTGCATTTTTCGCGCATGCTTCAGGAAGATTAAGTCTGCTTGTTAATAAAACATGAAGGCCGGGCGCGGTGGCTCAAGCCTGTAATCCCAGCACTTTGGGAGGCCGAGGCGGGTGGATCACGAGGTCAGGAGATCGAGACCATCCTGGCTAACATGGTGAAACCCCGTCTCTACTAAAAATACAAAAAACTAGCCGGGCGTGGTGGCGGGCGCCTGTAGTCCCAGCTACTCGGAGGCTGAGGCAGGAGAATGGCGTGAACCTGGGAGGCGGAGCTTGCAGTGAGCCGAGATCGCGCCACTGCACTCCAGCCTGGGTGACACAGCACGAGACTCCGTCTCAAAAAAAAAAAAAAAAAAAAACATGAAGAGCCGGCAGAGTCCATCTGAAATTAACATTAAGGGCTCTGGAGGTAGCAGCAGCTTTAACCTGATCATGATGCTCAGAGTCTTTTGACATCCTAAAGCCGAGCCTTCAGCTGTGTAGTGAGAGGCAGAGCAATGTGTAATTTCCCCGGAGCCTGAGGCTGGGCTGGTGCCCTATGCCTGTGACACGGAGGCAGGGAAAGGTAGGTGTGCAGAGGACAGTGGCCATGGCAAGGCTGAGGCTGCTGTCTCTAGAAAGGCCCACCAGCAGGGCTGGCACCTGGAAACTTTGATTTGGGGAGAATTCCTACCATTCCCAGAATTAAGATAAAGATCTAGAACATCCTGAAACCTAGATATAAATGAAACCCTAGAAACAATGCGATCTAGGAGATAGAGGTGCCCAACCCTCAACCTGGGACCCCTGCTACCTGTCCCAGCCAGATGCCACCTAGCCTCTGCTGAAAGTTCTCCTGCAGGGGCAACTCCACCCGGACATAGTTCCCGGCCTCCAGAACCTCTGCCTGGTGGAGAGATGACCATTCCAGAGGTGCGGGGTGAGATACAGGATGTACGGGGGAGTGACGAAGGCAAACCCTGGGGATGGTGGCCCACTCTCGAGTAGAGAGGACAGCCCACTGATGGGCAATGCGTCTGTCAACGTTTCAAAAACCTATTTATTTATTTATTTATTTATTCATTTAGAGATGGAGTCTCACTCTGTTGGCCGGGCTGGAGTGCAGTGGTGTGATCTCGGCTCACTGCAACTCTGCCTCCCAAGTTCAAGCGATTCTCAAGCCTCAGCCTCCCATGTAGCTGGGATTACAGGCGTGCACCACCATGCCAATTTTTGTACTTTTAGTAGAGATGTGGTTTCACCACGTTGGCCGGGCTGGTCTCGAATGCCTAACCTCGTGGCCCACCTGCCTCGGACTCCCAAAGTGCTGTGATTATAGGCTTGAGCCACTGCGCCTGGCCTTACTATTTTATTTTTTTAAAGAGACGAGGTCTCACTATGTTGCCCATGCTGGTCTCAAACTCCTGGGCTCAAGTGATCCTCCCACCTCAGCCTCCCAAAATGCTGGGATTCCAGGTGTGAGCCACTGCGGCTGGCCTGTGTTTTAAATAATTTTAAAGAACCGTTTTCATCAGAATATTCTTCCTTAAGGGAAAGAGGAGAATTTACTTAGAGCCTTTCATCCAGTACATTCAAGGTCATGCAGAAAGCTTCCAAATTCCAACAAGCAAACACACATGGTGGTGGGGGCAGGGGCAGGAAGGCCCAGGGAAGGAAAACATCCGATCTGAACCAATCAGCATCTCCTGGTCCCCTCCGAGGGATCTGTGGCTTGACTTCTCCCATGCCCTGTAGAGCCAGCACCGTGTAATAACCGGGCCTGTGTCCTCACCTGAAAACTGGGGGTCACACAGTCTGTCCTGAAGAGCTATGATGTGATAAACACCACTGAGTAGCATCACATTTTCCTATCGCCCCAACTGCGTCTAGAGAAACACTTGGAGAAGATGGGAGAGCCGCATTTAGCACTCCCGCCCTCTCCCTTTCTCCAGAGCTCTTTGCCTGGGCTGTGCCACTCCTCGAGGTTCAGGTTACCAAGTCTTACCTTGAAACTGAGGCTTCACCTCCCAGGAGCAAGAGGCAAACCCACCAAACACATGCTTGTCATGGTCCTCAAGGACAGCCACACAGGGCCCCCGGTGAGTGATGTGGCCGCAGAGCTGGGAGAAGCTGTGTCCGTGGAGCTCAGATGAAAAAAGCAGGCGCCAGCAGTGCCGCTGCTCCCAAGGCAGGTGGGCGTTGATGTACATGACAGAGAGAATGTCCAGGATGCTCTCAAAACCCCTGCCCTGGTCCACTTGACGCTCGGGGACCAGGGTAGTCAGATCCAGGGATGAGCACAGGACGAGAAAGCCCTTGTGAATGACCACACTCAGGAATATGGCCACGTGGGGGACCCTGAACACCCAGTCCTCGATCATGGCTCGGTCACAGTCACAGTCCAGCCACTGGGGCCCCAGAAACCTCTTGCCATCTAGGGGAAGGGAACAGTGAGCATTAGCGGGGCTGTTATGTCACCGTATAGCTACTATCTAAACCCACACTGAGTACGGGAGCCATGAGCCACGTAGCAATTACTGAGCACACAAAACAGGGCTCGTGTGAACTGAGAGGTGCCGGAAGTGTAAAAGGCACACCTGATTTCAAATACTTGGTACGAAAAAAATGTAAATTATCTCAATTTTTAAATATTCATTACATTTCAAAATTGTATTTAGGACATAATTATTAGAATCAGTTTCCCCTGTTTCTCTTTACCCTTTTAACATGGTCCCTAGAAAAGTGAAAATTTCACATGGGGCTTGCTTTGTCTGTTGGCCAACACTGATCTCAACAATCCGACTTCAACATTTTTCTCTCCTCTCCAAGCAGCATTTCAGAGCCCGTCGAGATGGCAGTGCCCTGGCAATGGGGCTGGAATAGATGCCTGAGCTACACCTGGAGCCGCTCATCAGAGGGTGTCTGTCCTGCCAAGGTCACTGGAAGGGCATTGTTGCCAGCCAGTCAAGGGGCTGGTAGGGCACTTCCTGGGACTCCTGTAGTTTATCTGGGAAGAGCGGGTTTCATTCACCACTAATCAGGCTTAATCATACAGCACTTGGAGTCCTATTTTCCATCCCTCACCCACTAAGAGTGGAGGTGACAGGGTAAGAGCGTGGGAGCACACACCTGGGACTCCAAAGCTGGTTTCAAACTCAAGCTCAGGAACAGCATGACCATGCCAAGATCTGCACCTCCGTGCCTCAGTTTCCTCAGGTGGAAAATGGAGGTAAGGCCAGAACCTGCCCTGCTTGGTTATTACAAGGACCAGAGGAGCTTTTACATTTTAAGCTCTTGCTGACACAAAGGCTCCATTTACAGCGATTATAATTTCCAGCCTAGTGAAAATTTGAATCTAAGCTGAAATAACATTTTGTCTCAGGCCCATTTTATTAAGCAGAAAATGTAAAACTACTTCCCAACTTCTGATATTTCGAAATTCCTATCATTTCCATTTATTTTTCAAACAGTTTCATTTCTCATTACTTATATATTACTTGAAACCTTAAGGATAATTTTAATCGTCTGAATTAACTTTCTCTACTTCAATGACAAACGTTAATTTTTATTTTCATGATTCTTTTAAAATATACTAATTCTAGAGGGGTGCGGTGGTTCACGCCTGTAATTCCAGCACTTTGGGAGGCTGAGGTGGGTAGATCACCTAAGGTCAGGAGTTCAAAGACCAGGCCTGACCAACATGGTGAAACCCCGTCTCTATTAAAATACAAAAAAAAAAAAAATAGTCGGGTGTAGTAGCGGGCGCCTGTAATCTCAGCTGCTTGAGAGGCTGAGCAGGAGAATCCTTGAAACTAGGAAGCGGAGGTTGTAGTGAGCCAAGATCACTCCACTGGACTCCAGCCTGGGCAACAAGAGTGAGACTCCGTCTCAAAAAAAAAAAGAAAAAACTACTAATTGTAGACAGATAAACAGTTTATCCATAAGACAAATTACTGATACTTTTAAAATTCTTTCCAAGTTCCAATACCTCATCTGAATTAATTTCTGAAATATAACCTATTTTCAAGTTGTACTTTAAAATCTGGCTTTAAAAACAAAAAGCAACATATTTATAAAGCAAGTCTGCTTTGCAATGTGATTTGCCACAAGGTTTTTTTTTTTTTTTTTTTGAGACGGAGTCTCGCTCTGTCGCCCAGGCTGGAGTGCAGTGGCACGATCTCGGCTCGCTGCAAGCTCTGCTTCTCGGGTTCACGCCATTCTCCTGCCTCAGCTCCTGAGTAGCTGGGACTACAGGCACCCGCCACCGTGCCCGGCTAATTTTTTGTATTTTTAATAGAGACGGGGTTTCACTGTGGTCTCGATCTCCTGACCTTGTGATCCGCCTGCCTCGGCCCCAAAGTGCTGGGATTACAGGCGTGAGCCACCGCGCTCGGCAAGGTTTTTTTTTTTAATCCCAAGTAAATTTAAATATATACTCCTTCTCACCCAACAGCAGAATACACATTCTTCTCACGTGTGCTTTAACCACTACCCAGAAGTGACCGTCTAATAGGCCATAAATGATGTATCAACAAATTTTAAAGGATTGAAATCATACAAAGTATGTTCTCTAAACATAATGAAATGAAATTAAAACTCAATACTAGAGGGCAATTTGAGGCATTCGTAGGCATGGAGAAATGAAATAACATACCTTTACATAGTCAATAGGCCAAAGGAAAAATTCCTAAGCGACATTAGAAAATATTGAGATCAACGGAAATAAAAACATAACCTATCAAAACTGATGGCATGCAGCTAAGGCGCTGCTGAAAGGGAAATTTGCAACTGTAAATGCTGATATGAAAAAGAAGATCTCAAATCAATAACCTAATATTCTACCTTAAGAAACTAGAAAGAGAAGACCAAACAAATTTAAAGCAAACAAAAGGAAGAAAATAAAAGCTTGGGGAAAATAAAGCAGAAACTAGAAAGACAACAGAAAATTAATGAAACTAAAAGCTGGTTCTTCAAAAAGAACCAACAAAAATGTGAAAAACCTTTAGCTAGACTGACTAAGGACAAACGGACAAGACACAAATGCTTCATATCAGTATTGGAAGTGGGGACATCACTGTTGCTTTTGGGAAAATAAGGAGGATTATTTAAAAATATGCCAACAAACTAGAAACCTAGGGGAAGGTTCGAGGGCTCACGCTTTCTGCTTTCAAAGCTTTACTACACAGCTACAGTCATGGAGACAGCAGGTACCGCTCTACAGCAAAAGACCTAAATCACCGAGTCCACGCACACTTGCCTTGCAGCTTCATCTCAGAGAGCAGCTGAGCAGCCAGCACCTGCACCCGGGGGGTGGGCCCTGGGGCTTCCTTCCCAGTCCAGCCTCTCAGCTCCTGTCGGTGGCTTAGCACATGCACCACTGAGCCAACCAGATCCTCTGTAAACTTTAAGATCACAATTTTACCATTAAAAACAGTTCCACCGTAACCTGAGACCTCTGTCATGTCCACATGGAGAATGGCAATTTTCTTTAATGCCAACTATGATGGGCCATAATGTGTGGAAAGGTCATGCAATGTATGTAGTTACTCATTTTTCTAATGATACACTTGGCCGGCCTAGAAGTTTTCCCAAAGCCTTCGTCCAGGACTTCTGACCTCAGCCCAACAGTATTGGGGTTTAGGGCTCCCCGAGGATGGACAGCTCCACAATGCCGACTGTCTTCATTGCTCAAACCAACAGGATGATTTGCTGAGGCCCAGGAGCTTCCCGCTCCAGAAAATCCCTGATCTCCCCAAATTTGGTTGAGATCTAAGGTTTATTGTGCTGAGTTTTACTTGCTTCCAAAAAGGAAGGCAAGTCTTCCTGTTTCCGCAGCGACAGAGGGCAGGCAACTACCTTCTGGAGTTGCTGCTCGCTTCCAACAGAGAAGGCGAGTTTGAGGTTTTCCTGCTTCTAAGATGGCAGAGGGCAGTCTGCAGCCTGGGCCCCATCCCTAGGAAAGTAGCTGAATTGGGGTTTTGTCTTAAACATTCTCCTGACGACTAAAACTTAAGATTAACAACCAACTGGTCTTCATTTCTCCTTACCATGAGCGCACTCAGTAATTGTAGAAAGCGTGTGAGCGCGTGTTTGTTTTGCTGAACTGTTTTTATTTGTGGTTTCTGTTTTGTTGTTTCAGTCTGTTTCCCATTTGGTTTGATCAACTCTGCCTGACTTGGTCAAATCCAAATTATGGGGAAACAAGGTCTCTGAACTGGCTAAATTCCCACAGCTGGGGAAAAAAAGAAGAAAAGAACAAGGCTACCAAAAGGAAAAAAAGATTTTGACTGCCTGAGGGGCTTTATTTCCATAACCTTTGCCAGCCAGACCCAAACTGAAAGACCGAGGGCAGCCGCCCCGCACTCTCGCTCAGTAGCTAAGTTTCTGTCTTTCTTTTTTTTTTTTTTTTAACCTCAACAGCCTGACTTTGGTTCCTACATCAAATCCTTTCTGGTTTGATATTTGTGTTACTTCTGAAATAGCAGTCATTTTTGTCCCAGGTAAAACATGGTAGTAAGAGATTTAAAATGATTTTTTAAAAGAGCTCAATGGTTAAAGTCAGCTTAATCAGAAGCTAATATCCAAGATATATGTGTGTGTGTATGTGTGTGTGTGTGTGTGTGTTTATGTGTGTGTGTGTTTATGTGTATGTGTGTGTGTGTGTTTATGTGTGTGTTTCTACTTAAAGGAACAAAATGCTTTTTTGTCTCTCCTAGGATCTTGTTTTTTGAGGAAAAAAAAGATTTCTTTCCCTCAGTGGACTGAATTGTCTTCTCCATTTGCCTCCGCACATGTCTGCTTCCTCTTGCCACTCTCCGCTGTATGAAGGACCTAAAATAATGTCTAACAGTCTGGGATTCCTTAAAGAAAACAGAGAAGGTGCCACACTTGTTTCTGAGAGAAATGTGTGTTTCTTTTTTTTTTTTTTTTTGAGACGCAGTCTCCGCTCTGGTCGCCCAGGCTGGAGTGCACGTGGTGCCGGATCTCAGCTCCTGCAAGCTCCGCCTTCTTTGTCGGTTTACCGCCATTCTCCTGCCTCAGCTCCTCTCCGAGCTAGCTGGGATACGCAGGCGCCCGCACTTCGCCCGGCTAGTTTTTGTATTTTTTAGTAGAGACATGGGGTTTTCCAGGCATGTGTAGCGCCAGGATGGTCTCGATCTCCTGACTGCTGTGATCCCGCCCTCTCGGGTTTC